GTAATTATTCAGAGAGGAGGTTAGTTATGGAAGTTTATTAGATTGTGTCAATTGGAAGGGCTATGAGGGATGAGGGATAACCAGCCGGAAAGCATGGAAAGAAGGCAGTGGAGTTCTATATATATCAAGTGGGCTGGTGTATAAAATTATGAAGTTCAGCCATGACAACCTAAGCCACAGTCAATGGTTACATCTTTCCAGGGTACAGGCGCATAACGTGCACTCTGATATAATTTCCCCAAAAAATGTCATTCAAAACCGTTTGAACTTGATATGTACATGCCCGATCTAGGTCTTTGATTGGCCGGTGTGCTAGGGGCAGAAAGTGGCTGCCTACGCACTGTGCCACTGTCGACACCTGTATTGGTCATGTGATTTATCCCAGATTTCTGCCTGAAAATGCCTCTCGGATCTGGCTCGGGAATGAATTCTCAGACCCAGCTTGTCTTGCATAGCCTGTCGGATCGTCGCGAAACCTAAAGACATTGTCAACGATGGAGGGATACGCTCTAGCTACAGGGTGAACTACGGTAGCACAGTATTATTGATTCACTATGAACTGCTTGATAATTGCAATATAGTTGAAGATGTTGAAGACTAATCAGTATCAGTGCGCAATTTAAGAACTGAAGAGCTTCCTGACTTGAATCCTGACCTAGAAACTGCAGGGACATATATCTGATTCTCTGTATCATCAAAGTCTTCCAAGACAAGATGAACATCCGCAGCATTGTTTCCCACAATCTTGAAATAGGTTATTGCAGTTAGGCATAATGCCAGCCGCTTCTCTCCTTTATCCCCTTGGTAATGAGATCGGTCCTGGTTTTTCCAGAAGCCCATCACAGTCTTTCATGTAGACATATTGTTGAAAATTGCCAGGATGGCGTTGTTACGTCTGCCCATAATGTCGCTTGGTCTGTCAAATCTCCTTATTTTGCCTTTGCCGTCATTGTTGGGTTATTGAGATGAAACAAGATCCTGTCTAATGGACCGAGGATCTTGTCTCTATCTCCAGTTTTTTTTTTTTTTTTTTTTTTTTTTTTTTTTTTTTTTTTTTTGCAAAGGTTATCAGAAGTATAAGATCCGCAATACCGTACTTCGTTTTCTGTGAAGGTTGCGAGATTCATATAACCCTCCATGGGAACAAGGGAATCATAGAGTTGGTTGAGAGGAAAGAGACAAGCTCATGGGCTGTTATTATTCTCATAATAACAGCGTACTGACCCGAAACGGAAGACATCCCTAATATAAGGCACATTGTAACAACTTCATGAGAGTATCAGCTCATGGCCAAGCAGGCTGGTACGCGAAGAGACCTACCACGTAAATAGCACCGGTATTCATTCCTGGGATTGTTAAAGATGCCCTCTTCTTCTATTGGGAAAATGTGCATCGCTTCATACCCCTACCACCTATCTGGGGGCACAGAGACACACTGTAGTGAATCAATCTTCGAGTAGACATAAGATGCTATGAGAGTGGATGGGTGAAAAGAGAGATAGTAGGAAAAGAGGTTTACTGCCAATGCTCCCCAATTCGGAAAACCTGGATCCCCTCTCCTACTCGTCTCGTTCTTTTTTCCTTCTTTCCACCATAATCCTCAACACAAGTGTCAACACCTTCATCACCCCCAGAATGAAACAACAGTCGACCCTGACAATACCGAAGACCTGAATCCAGAATGGAAACTCGCTGTTATCACAGACAGTTTTTAGAGAACCTTCAACTCAACAGGGCTTCAAAGCTATCATGGCCTATATTTATTTATTTACAATTGACCAAAGAGCACAAAATAAAAGCTCGAAGAAGAGGTTTAGAGACCAGCCTAAAACGATGTCTCTATCAGACCGCCAAATGGATGAATCCCGTGGAAATAGAAACGAGGACACACGCAACAGTGTGGTGCGTACTTCTGCGGAACGCAGTAAGAAGTACTGTATACAGACTTGAGAACAAATGTCGAAGAGACCAGACACACTTAAAAGACTCAATGGTCTCGGGTTACAATTGCCCCGAGAAAGAGAGTGCGCTGCTGGCGGAAAACCTATGCTAAACACGGAAAGAACCACTGCTGGGCTATTCCAAGCACAGTAATCGTGCCATGATTTGGATGTCTTATCCAACACGCTGACACCCTTCAAAGGATGCGCATCTAATGCCATAAACTAATGACAAGTCTATGTTTAGTACCAAGGATATTGCAGGTGAAGCAGACACGCTGTGGACTCTCATGAAAAAGCGAGCCCCAGGGTCAGTGATATCAAGCAGGATCACAAGGTTGCCGGCGCCTTATATTATTTCAATCCAACTATGAAGCCGCTATACCCGCTACACCACGCCTACTCCAGACTGATGGGGCACAATCTCCTGAACTCAATCTCATCTTCTGGTCCTTTCTTTGTGTACACTTCTGACACCATAACAGGATGATGGACGAGAGCTAGAAAAAGTGCAACGAGCGAAAACCAAAAGGGGATAAGGTTCCTGTCTATCGTTCACGAGAATACTGTGTAGGGTTCGTCTCGCTGACTGGCCATATCGTGCTACCTGCGAATCAAGTATAAGACCAACGAATTACGGCATGACGAAGAGGTTAAAAACGCAGCTGACCGCCCAAAAGGCTGAAGCGGGTGACACCAACGGGGAGCTTAGACAACTTGTCGATATTGTTGATGCTAGGTAATACAGGTGATTGGAAGATGATGAATCGCGATGCTGACTTATTGCTCGATACCTTGTCGGTTCATTTGTCTTATTCTCGCCAAATTAGGGTCGCGGCACCGTTTTGTTTGATTGGTCTAATCCAACATCCTTTGTCAATGGCGCGAATTGGGTCTAATAAGGATGTTATCAATGATGTATATGTTTGACGCAGTGTATTTGGCATAATAATGATAATCTAGTTGAATAAGACTATGAATTCCAAACCTAATCCCGTCTCCGGTTTTCCCGACCCCATACCTCATCAGCATTGGCCTTGTCTTTAGTTTCCGGAACAAACTTATAAATAAACGACCCCATAACAGCCGCCAAAACGGCAAAGATCCAGTATACCTTTCCGCGACCACCCAGCGCATCATTAACAACAGGGAAGAACTGCGCCACCACAAAAGTCGCAATCCAGTTAGCCCCCAGTGCCAAGCTCTGCGTCGCCCCAACGGCCTCTGGTCCAACGAGCTCAGAAGACAGAATGAAGGGGACCGGGCCCAAGCCTACGGCAAAGAAAGCAACGAATAGTAGCGCCGCGATGGATGACAAGGCCTTGTGGTTGAAGTAGATTCCTAGGGCCAGCAAGACGGAATCGAGACCCACTCCGGTGATACTCAGGAGAAGGCACTTGCGTCGACCGATCTTGTCGGGGAGCGGGGAGCAGGCCAACGTGATGACGAGGTTGATGGCAGAAATCATCACGGTCAGTAACGCGGCTGTAGTCGGGAGAATAGTCTGCAACAGCGAAACACTGTACATCACGATACTGTTAATGCCCGTGAACTGCTGAGCGACCATCACTCCAATCACAGCGATAATCGCTTGACGGTACTCAGGGTCCGTAATAGCACGCAGGATGGTAACCGGGGGTTGCTTGGAAGATGCGTCTCCCGACTGATGCTCGAGCAGAGACTCCTCTTCGTCGGACGGGTCGACAGGATCCGTGGAGACATTCCACCCTTCAATTTCACCATCGATATCCGCGTTCTCCCCTCGAATGCGCTGGAGTACCTGTCGCGCCTGCGTCGTCTTCTGATGCTCTGCCAGCCAAATTGGACTTTCCGGCACGAAGAAGAGACCAAGGAGCTCCGCGAAACCGATGACACCAGCAATAAAGAGTATTTCCCTCCACTTGTTCCCTCTGCTCATGAATAACCCCAATGTCTGAGTCAAGAGGATACCAACATTGGCCATAATCTGCGTAAAGGCACCAAAGAATCCCCGGGCATTGTGAGGCGCAATCTCCGAGATGTAAATGGGCCCAGCCACAATAGCAGCCCCCGCCCCGACACCAGCGACCACTCTACCAACGCTTATCACGGCGATGCTACCAGCCATTGTCATTGCCAGGGGACCCAGGATGAAGAAGATGGTCGTTGCTCGTAGGACGAATAGTCGTCCATATCTAGTCGCGACGGGGCCGGCCAGGAGCGCGCCCAGGAGACCACCGAGTGTGTAAATGGAGGATACGAGGCCGAATTGCGAGGGGTTCATGTGGATGCATTGCGGCGAAAGGTTTGCGACGGATGAGTGGATGCTTTGTCGTTCGCAAGTTATCACGGATTGCGGGGCGTTGAGTTCGGCCTGAAGAGTTGTCAGCGATATAATTTAACTGAGTGCAGTATCTGCCGTACCAGGTGATATCCGAATTGCAGCGGCCCGAGAGTGGTGATAAACACCAGGTACACCAGATACGGAGTGACCTTGTACTGGCTGAAAGCCATAGTATAGAAGAGACAAGCTGCTAGTTTTATATATGGTTATCTTGATAGTATCGGTTTTCAAGAGCAGACACGCACATCTCGGGTTGTGTGGTTGTTGTTGTTGAGGTGTGAGATTAGGAGTCGAAGAGACGTGATGACGTTGCAGATCTTGACTTGTGAGGATCCCGTTCACAGCCTACCTCGTATTTATAGTAGTACTCTGTACTCTGTAGATATCTTGAGTCTGCCTTGTTAGATGTCTTACCTGAAGGATCAATTTTTCAATGGAAATTTTTTATTCGGCAAACATGCGATAGCAGCATTGTGGGTGTCAAGCTGCTGGAGAAGACCGAAGACCGAAACACCCAAGTACGGAGTACCCCAAAGAACAGCATTAGATATTGTACAGCTATCCCCAGCTATCAACACAATCAACCAAGCCATTCTTATCCCTGTACTTAATTATATAATTATACTCTACTCCGTATAGTTATGGGGTGTTATACCCATTATCATGTTCACTGCTGACTAACCCCGACCGATAACTATCGCCAGCAAATCCTCCCATGGATCACCACAGCTGGTCCTATCCCAAGCCCATCAATCAGATTAACCAGGCTCTTTATCGCATACAGCATTGCCGTACCCCGCCATGTCCATGCCCTGTGAACACTAATTACATACTTGTACTGCTGATACACTGATCTCTATGAGCCTGACCAACCAACAACCCTCCAGCTCGGGTCCATTGACAGCATCATCTTCCAGGCCTGCCGTGGCCACCAGTACTGTCTCTCAGAGTTTGGTGTTGAAAAGGAGTCTGCAGGCTGCGGTCGATGGTAATATTGCCACTTCTGTTTGATACTGTCTTCTTGCCTTTCCGTTGGGTTTATTTTGATCCGGAAGCATGTCCGGGAGTTGTTGACGGGTCTTTAATTGTATAATTCTTGCATCTCTGTTTTTATTATTATTTTTCTTTCTTCTATATTTCATGGTGATTGTTTCTGTCTATCATGTTTAACCGCAATTTTCCTCCTTTCAACTCCTTTGGCGGGTTTTATCCTCGTGGTAACGATTCCCCCTCTAATGTTTTGCGGGTTGCATTGATTTCTAATAGTGCTGCTTTTATTTCCTTTCTTGCGGTTGATGATAGTCGATGACATAGTCAGTACAGAGTAGATGCTAACGACATGAAGAAAGCATAGATACAAGAAGACCGGCTGGAACTGGGTATACCAGTAAGGTCCGTGTACGCGACAAATACCACATTGTTGGTTTCATCAGCAGTGGTACATATGGCCGAGTATACAAAGCCCTGGCGAAAGATGGCCGGAGGGGCGAATTCGCCATCAAGAAGTGCGTATATCCCGTCTTTTAATGGATCTGTTCACTAACATTTACCAGGTTCAAACCGGAAAAAGAAGGCGAAGCCATCCAATACACCGGCCTCTCCCAATCTGCCATCCGGGAAATGTCCCTATGCTCCGAACTAGACCACCCCAACGTGGTGCAACTAGCAGAAATCATCCTCGAAGACAAATGCATCTTCATGGTCTTCGAATACACAGACCACGACCTCCTCCAAATCATCCACCACCACACCACCCCCCAAAGACACGCCATCTCAGCCCCAATGGTCCGCTCAATCCTCTTTCAACTCCTAAACGGCCTCTACTACCTCCACACAAACTGGGTCCTGCACCGCGACCTCAAACCAGCTAATATCCTAGTAACCTCCAGCGGCGCAATTCGTATCGGCGATCTGGGCCTCGCCCGCCTCTTCTATAAACCCCTTAACTCCCTCTTCTCGGGAGACAAGGTCGTTGTCACGATCTGGTACCGTGCCCCTGAACTCCTCATGGGAAGCCGCCATTACACACCCGCAGTCGACCTGTGGGCTGTGGGTTGTATCTTCGCAGAACTCCTCTCCCTCCGCCCCATATTCAAAGGCGAAGAAGCAAAAATGGACAGCAAAAAGACCGTCCCTTTCCAGCGTAACCAGATGATGCGCATCATCGAAATCATGGGCATGCCCCGCAAAGAAACCTGGCCCGGCATCGTCTCCATGCCGGAATACTCCCAACTCCAATCCCTCGCGCTCTCACGCGCCTCATCGGGCCACCACTTCTCCCGCCCACCGAGCCTCGAATCCTGGTACACGAACTGTCTCAAGAACGGCGGCTACTCGTCAACCTCTAGCATCGGGACCCCAGGTGCAGAGGGCCTAGACCTTCTCTCTCGTCTTCTCGAATATGATCCTACGAAACGCATTACTGCGCAGGAAGCACTTGAGCATCCGTACTTTAAGGAGGGGGGACATGTTTCTGCGGATTGTTTCCAGGGTCTGGAGGGACGGTATCCGCATCGGAGGGTTACGCAGGATGATGGGGATATTAGGAGTGGTTCGTTGCCGGGGACGAAGAGGAGTGGGTTGCCGGATGATAGTTTGTTGGGGAGGGCGGCGAAGAGACTTAAGGAGTAACGTATTCATAATGGGTCTTCAATTCTCTTTCTCTTTTTGAGCATGCGAAAGCGGGCGTTAGTGTCTTTATGTTCTTCTCGATCGGCGCTACAATTATATACCATATTCCTTGATATATTAATATTTATTTGAAGGTTTTCGTTCGGTGGCTTGTCGAATATAAATTAGTCTGACATAATTGATACACATGAATTACTTCCGTCCGTTGCGCCTTTGGATCATTCTTCATCCCCGATACTGATACCCATACCCATACCTAACCCAACCCGTACCGAAAAACCACACTAATGACTCCGTGATACAATTAAGAAAGGAACAAACACAACTCCCCATCAGTATCCTGCCCCATTGTTAGCATACGAACCAGCAAAGTCATGGGAATTAAACATACCACTTTGTTCATGCCTATTAGCACCCTCATTACCATTACTCTCTCCATCATCATTCGCTGCAGCAGGATCACCCCTCAACTTCGCAAAATACTCCTTAATATCCTCCGCCCCAACAGCCGCCCCGCTCTCCGCAAACGGCGTTAGGAATTCCTTCACCTTATCGCGTAGATGATTGTAGACCATCGCGCCCTCAATAGCCCGTACACGATCCATGTTGCTGAACGCTGCTTCGCCGCGGTCGAGGAGGGAGCCGGTACCCGTGCTTCCGCCGCCGTTGGGTTCTTCGTCGCCGGCTTCGGAGAGTGGGGGTTCGTAGGTTTCTTCTTCTTCGCGGAGTTGGCGGTGAGTGAAAAGGTGTGGGTAGCACTGGGGGCAGCGGCAGAGGTGGTCGCGGAAGTCTTCTTTGAGGAAGAGGGAGAAGGTTCCGGTGGGTGCGTTCTTGGGGAGGTTGCCGTGTTTGTTGGTGGGTTGTTCTGGTTCGGGTTCGGGTTCGGACTTGGGCTCAGAGTCTGCGGGGGTGGTTTCGTCGGCTTTTGGCTTCTTTGCTGCTGGCTCATCCTTGTCGTCCTCGAGTTTGCGCTTCTTTGAGCTGCCCTCGTCTTCATGTGGTGCATTGGCCGTATCCTCCTTGCTAGACTCGCCGTTCTCGGGAACCTTAGATTGATCACCCTTGTGGTGAACCGGAGGCAGAAAGCCAGTAGTTCCGGCGTAGCGCTTCAGCCAGGGATTCGACTCAACGCACTTGTAGCAAAGGAATGTCTCAAAGTCGTCCTCAGCAGGGAAGCCCGGAGGCAGTGGCGGCTCCTCATCCTCGTTGTTCTCGTCTCCCTCCTTCTTTTCCGCCTTGTGCCAGTCTCGGGGCAAACCAACGATACACTCCGGATGCCACCAGTCCTCTCCGCAGCCTCCCGTCTCAACCGTACCCAGACCCAGACACTGGAACATAGTCCCTTTCTCTTTGTCAGCATCGTAGGATTCACCGCACCCGCAAAACCTATTCTGAAAGTTCTGGTTGTATTTGTTGTTCGCCACGGGCTCTTGCGAGTGGACACCCTTTCGGCCGGTCTTCGGGTCATTTCTGAGCGCGCAGGGAGCAGATGGAGGGAGGCGCGTGGTTCCGCAGTCGCAGACAAAGTCTCTCTTGCCGAATAGCTCAACTAGAGTATGCTCGCCATGGCAGGAGATGGAGCAGGAGTAGCAGACGCCGGCGGGGGTATACGACTCGTCAGGTTTGGTGGACGGGTTGCAGGTAAGGCAGGCAAAGAGGCTTTGACGGAGGGGGCCTAGAGCTTGCGAGCATGAGTCGAAGGACTAAAAGGGTCCAGGTTAGTGAGTGTCTTCCCGAGACATTCTGAGGCGTGCACTCACATATGGAAGGGCTTCGCGTGCGTCGGCTTCGAGTTGTAGTTGATTTTCGATAAACCTGCAGAAGGTGAGCTTGTCAGAGTCTCATAAATACAGTTACATATGGAAATTTCATGTCCATATCAAGGATACTCACTCTTTCGCCGTGTGGGATTCTTCTGAGGTAACCGTGCGGGAATCATGGGAAGCAAGGCTGTCTCGACGCATTGCGATGCCACCTGCAACCTTGGGCGTCTCTTGGTCACGAGAAGTCCTGGGGCCTTCTGAGTTATCCATATCAGCTCTTCGAGTCAATGGAAACCTATGATGGATGTTTCTTTGCGGCGCAAGAGATGCCCCAAAAACAGTGGCTCTTATCAACGCGCGCCGCACTTTTGTTTGCAGTGTTTGTATATTGAACGATTCTGCCCCTTGGGACCGCCTACCTATCCTACGACTACATCTAGTTATTTCGGTTGACTTTAATTTCACGCAATACATGGCGATAATGATGCCCTACTTGCTCGAAGTACTGTTCTTAATATTCGATTAACGTTCTCATGGCTGGCACGTGTATCTGGGGTATTATTGCGTAGTTGATAGATCCCTGGGTCTGGGTCTGGGTCTGGGTCTGTCGAGGACGAGAAGGGTGGTTGTTGTGCACGAGGTCCTCTGAATGGAGATGAGAGATTGGGCAATGCAGAATGGTAAATCTCCTTCAGCTAACGGTAGCAATTAAAAAACAGTTTCTAATGAAGATAGATAAATATAAGTTCTCGACCCTGACTTAACAAATCCGAATCATAACGATCATAAGGCCATTCGCCCTTCCCTAAGCAACGCGTGGTTTGCACCACCTTCAACTCGGGCTCAGAACTTAGCAATCTGATATGTGTTAGGCACTGGTAGCAATTTTGGGAGTCTGGGGCATTAAAGTCCTCCATTTCCAGTAAGCTGTCGCCGAGGTCCTCTTCAGGGCAGATGTACACTGTTCGTATCCGAAGCGGAAGCGGAAGCCGAGGAAGGAATCTCAAACCGAGTACGGACAAATAACTTAGCACCTTTTCTGAGATAGAACTTCATTTCAGCTCGAATGCTCTGATAGGCACCACATTCGTGAGAGAGACAATTGCCTTCTTTTTCAGTTTTTGCATCTTTGAGCAGTCCCTTGTCGATCAAGCTAAGAGGCTGCTTTTCACTTATTTTCTGCAGATACCTGACGATACGCGCTCGATTACGAGGTGATGCAAGGGCATATATCAAGTAGCTGAAATATTTGGCACATCGTCTTCTGGAAGGAATCGATGACAGTTCACCTGCTGGAAACTCTTCACGTGGATGTAATTTCTCACAATGCGCACAGCACGCCCATTTGTTGTTTTCTAGTAGGCAGAGAAGGTGTATCCGCGAATACCACTCGGGGTCTTCTCCTTCCGTATTTCCATCTTCTTCCTCATCTAAATCAGAATAGCCTTCTCCGTCCGAATCATCTTCCTCGTCAAAATCAGATTCTTCGCCCGAATCGAGTTCCTCGTCCGACTCATCTATCGTTAGATCTACCCGGGGTAATCTCAACTCTTTAGCCTCGAGCACAGAGCCGAAGATGCCGAGGAGTTCCTTGCAAGTCAAGGCCAAGCAAACCTGATTTGGCGATGGCAGATGAGATGAGAGTTTCAGGAGCAGTTCCGTTGAAAACATGGGTGGTAAGAGTATAGATGGTGGCAGAGGTTCAGGATTCACCGTTGGCCGCGAGGCCCTAATGGGCAAGATCTGTATGCTTGATATCAATGGGGCCATGGTGAAAATGATCAAATATGAGAGGTTATTGAGTTCAAGAGTGTAGCTAGGCAGCTAACTTAGAAGTCTTATACAAAAACTATGACATGGTCCAATGCAACATATGACACGAAGCCATTCTATACGAAATAACCAGGACTACTATGGACTAAACATCATCGCATTAGCAATTCAAAAATGACAACACCCCTTCCAAAATAGCAGCAGCAACTACGGAATAGAAAGCAACCTTTCTAATTATGAATTTAAAAAGGAACATCACGTGTCGATCGAGCCTGTAGAGACAACTTCTCATCGTAATTGCCAAAAGGCCATTCTCCTCGTCCTAAGTACCGTGTGGCTTGCACAGTCATCGACCCTGGAACGTTGCTGTGATTTGACAACTTGGCGATACGGGTATTGCAGTAAGTGCAAGATCGAGGGTTGGTAATTTGCGATGCATACAGACTTTTTTCAAGTCTTTCATGGCGGCAGAGGTAGACTGAGTTCACATTCGGAACTGGAACTGGCACCTCATATTGAGTACAGACAGTTAATTTATCGCCTTTGTCAATGGAGAACCTGATTTTAATTTGAATATTGTAGGCGCTACAATCATGCAAAAGAGCATGCTCCTCTGTGTCAGTGTGTGAGTCTTTCAACTGTCCCTTGCTGATTTAATCTGGGATTAGTTTGCCATTTGTTCCACATTCAAGATGTCCCACGATATGCGCGCGAGCACGAGGTGTCAAAGTGATGCAAGGGCATATATCAAATAGCCGAGGGAATGTACTGCAATACCGTTTACATGCAGGTTTGTCAGTGCGAACCCAGAAAGCTCTTCACGTGGGTGTAGCATTTACAACGTGGACAACATGCCCACTTGTTATCCTCAAGTTGGCGAAGAAGACTCATCCGTATATAATAGTCGTCATCTTGGTCGTCTGGATGCTTTCGTGTCTGACTCAGTCGAGGAAACTGTAACTCGCTAGCCTGGAACACTGGGCTGAATATGTTGTAGAAATCCTTGCAGGTACGGCCAAGCAGACCTGACTAGGCAATGGCAGACGAGAGAAAATATTCTGGAGGAGCTCTATCGGGATTCTGGGTAACCATGGTTTAGGGGGTGTCAGCATCAATCGTAGTGCTCGAAATATCCGACACTGAATCCGACGACATTCGTTAAGTGATACGCAAGCCATGTTGAGAAGCGAGGGAACTTGAGAACGTGTGTTAGTGTCAATAAACCAAGGCACGAGACAGTTTTATGAGTCGAAGTCTTGTACCAATCATGACATAGAAAGTCTACCATGGTTGAAGTCGGACTGAGGGCATGTTGCGATAAGGAGCTAAACCCGATCTGGAAAGCCCACTAGAACTCATCTTTCCCGATCGGGGTTTAATGGACGGCGACGCGTTACGCGCCTCGACGCGTCCACCGTGTAGCGGTGCCAAGAAAGAATCTTTCTCCCTTTGGTCTCCTTTCAAGTGGATGGATGCCAGACGACACTTCTCCAGCCGATGATTGCTTCAGTATAATCCCTTCAAATTTCGTTGCTGGAATACCTATAATACCACATATAGTATGAGGTGAGTTCTCCCGAGTCAACATCCAATGCATTCCGTGACAAAGTATCGTTTTTCTGGGTCTTCTAACCAAGTTGTGTGCGTGCAGTTCACCACTCCGACCAAGCCAATCCGCAGCAAATCGCGGGTTGGGCAACCTGAACCGCCGGAAGAGATCTCGCGAGCCCGATGATGAGACTTCTTCGATCGCTGCTCCGCCATCGAGTCGTAAGTTTTGAGAAAGGCCTGTCTGGTATCCCGCTAACCCCTCGGTAGCGCCGCCCTCGTCCCCTCCGGCCCCATTTGGCGACGATGAAAGCGACAGAGATGAAGAAGCGGAAGCCCTCGGCGATGTTGACGACCTTGAGGAAATGGCAGAGGATGAAGATGGGATCGACCTGTTCGGTGATAACTTCGAGAGAGATTATCGGGCGACCGCCGACGACCAATACCGAGGCGAATATATCGACGACGATGACCAGGAGCAAGAAGACATAGACCTTGGTACGCGTCGGCAACTCGAAGCCCGAATGTTCAAGAGAGATCGCGAAGCGGAGCGTCGCCGTCGGATGCCTGCAGCTTTCATGCCGGACGATGATGACGGTGATCTGGATCTCACACGTCAACCTCGTCGGCGAAGGAACCGTTATGACGAGGACCGAGAGGAGGTTGATATGGGCGATGAAGCCATGGAAGAGCTCACGCTGGACGAGTTGCAGGATGTCAAGGCATCCAACCTTACGGATTGGATTCTACAGCCACAGGTCCTGCGCTCAATCTACCGAGAATTCAAAGCTTTCCTGACAGAGTACATTGATGCGGCTGGCTCGTCGGTCTACGGAAACAAGATCAAGACTCTGGGTGAGGTTAACTCGGCATCGCTCGAAGTGTCCTACAACCACTTGGCTGAGGCCAAAGCCGCTCTTTCGTATTTCGTCGCGAATGAGCCTACCGAGGTCCTGAAGGTGTTTGACCAGGCCGCTCTTGACGTTACTCTCTTCCACTATCCTCAATACCACGATATCCATAACGAAATCCACGTGCGCATGACAGACGTTCCGACTACATATACCCTGCGGCAGCTACGCCAGTCGCACCTCAACTGTCTTGTTCGAGTTGGCGGTGTCGTAACCCGCCGGAGTGGCGTGTTTCCTCAGCTGAAATATGTGATGTTCATCTGTCAGAAGTGTAACATCACTCTGGGCCCGTTCCAGCAGGAGGCCACTGCCGAAGTCAAGATTTCCTACTGCCAAAACTGTCAGTCCAAGGGGCCGTTCACAGTGAACTCAGAGAAGACGGTATACCGGAACTATCAGAAATTGACATTGCAGGAGTCTCCTGGCTCCGTCCCAGCCGGACGACTTCCCCGTCAACGTGAAGTTGTTCTTCTTGCCGACCTGATCGACACGGCCAAGCCCGGCGACGAGATTGAAGTGACTGGTATTTACCGCAACAGCTATGACGCGCAGCTTAACAACAAGAACGGATTCCCTGTATTCGCCACAATCCTCGAAGCCAACCATGTAGTCAAGTCGCATGACCAGCTGGCTGGCTTCCGCATGACTGAAGAAGACGAGCGTCAAATCCGTAACCTGTCCAAGGACCCCGATATTGTCGACAAGATCGTCCGTTCCATGGCACCCAGTATCTACGGGCACCACGATGTCAAGACGGCCATTGCACTCTCGCTCTTTGGTGGTGTCAGCAAAGAAGCTCAGGGTAAGATGGCCATCCGTGGTGACATCAACGTTCTGCTGCTTGGTGACCCCGGTACGGCCAAGTCACAGTTCCTCAAGTATACTGAGAAGACAGCGCATCGTGCCGTCTTCGCGACTGGTCAAGGAGCTAGTGCTGTCGGTTTGACGGCCAGCGTCCGCCGCGATCCCCTTACCAGCGAATGGACGCTCGAAGGTGGTGCTCTCGTGTTAGCAGACCGCGGTACCTGTCTCATTGATGAATTCGACAAGATGAACGATCAAGATCGGACGTCCATCCACGAAGCAATGGAACAGCAGACCATCTCCATTTCCAAGGCCGGAATTGTCACCACACTCCAAGCCCGTTGCGCTGTCGTCGCCGCCGCTAACCCTATCGGCGGACGCTACAACAGCACCGCCCCCTTCTCTCACAACGTCGAGCTCACTGAGCCCATCCTGTCGCGTTTCGACATCCTCTGCGTTGTCCGTGACACGGTCGAGCCAACAGAGGACGAGCGTCTCGCCAGCTTCGTCGTCGAATCGCACTCCCGTGCTAACCCTGCCAGACCCCGTCGCAATGAACAGGGTCGTCTGATCGATGACGACGGTAACCTTATTGACGAGGAGGGCTACCGAGTCGATGAGGACGGAATCCGTCTGCCCCTGAGGCCAGACGAGATCCAGCGCCGCGAAGAAGAACAGCGCAAGGCAGAGGAAGAGAAGGAGGGCGAGATCCCGCAAGAACTGCTCCGGAAATATATCCTCTATGCCCGTGAACGATGCCGTCCCAAGCTCTACCAGATTGATCAGGACAAGGTCGCTCGTCTGTTTTCCGACATGAGAAGAGAGTCGTTGGCTACGGGTGCTTATCCTATTACTGTATGTTCGAACCTACTCAGAGTCAAGAAAAGCAACGCTAACAAAAATTTTGTAGGTCCGTCACCTTGAAGCCATTATGCGTATTGCGGAGTCTTTCTGCAGGATGCGTTTGTCCGACTTCTGCTCATCGCAGGATATTGACCGTGCCATTGCGGTGACGGTTGACTCGTTCATCGGTAGCCAGAAGGTCAGCTGCAAGAAGGCTCTTTCGCGTGCATTTGCCAAGTATGTTTCTTTCCTCCTACTAGCGTATTCCTTGGTACTAACATTGAGCCCAGGTACACACTGTCGAGACCCACGCCTCAATCGAACCGTAGGGCGGGCTTTGCGGCCCAGAACCCGCTTCTGAGACGCCGTCAACAACAGCAGCGGGAGCAGTCTGTGGCTTAGCGGTGATCGCCATATTGTTTCGAATGCGTGATTCAGTTTGTTTTTGAATTGATGCCGAGACGGTTAGCAAGTCATGTCATGTCTACATTGGTTTATTGATGGTTTTCTTTATGACGGGAGTTATTGGGGGGTGTTTTTTTTTTTTTTTTTTTCTCTCTACATACATGTCGGGGCATACAGGATACTATTTAGTACAGTAAATAACGATGAGAATTTGTTTGATGATTAACAGAGTACACTTGCTGTGTCCGAGTACATGATTAAGACAATTACCCAGCGGGAGCTCGGGAACAGGAATCTCGGGCAGTTTTTCTTTTTATAGACCTGACCTGCAGACCTGTTCTTGGACGGGCCAGTAGCGAATGCGTCAGGGCAATCAGAAAATGAACCAGGAACCAGATTAGAGCAGAGATAAGGGAGAGTTCTCCAGATTATGTGTATAGAATGCGCCAAGGGAATTGTACTACACATGACGCGACAGGCATTCCGGAGCGAGGATGGAAGATATGTCTGATATCACAGCATATTCGCCGCGTATACATAGCACATAGTACATACACTATTCTAGAGAGTCTCAGTTGTATATCAAAGAATACTGACCTGCTGTATGAATTCAAGGGCATACTTTGTAGGTAGTTAGTTAACTAGTTAGTTAACAAGATAATGACTAATGCTGCATTCAACCCCTGACGGCCGAGTGGCGATCAGGAGGCGAGAACGGGTACAGAATACTAGTAATGATATACAAACAGGGTGCAGTGAACGGGCAAAAATAAAGGGAATTTTCCGATGCCAGTGCTTAGGAGAATTGCAGCAATATAGATAGCAGAATACAGAATAATGAACCACACTCTAGGCTGCTGTCAGGATTGTTGACTGTTCTAATAAAAAGTCTCTTGATCTGCTCCTCCACACCCATTATTATTATTGCGTTGCCTTCCCTTTCTCTTTCCCTCTCTTCCGTTCCCCTCTCTTCCGTTCCCCTCTCTCTTTCTCTCTTTCTCTTTCTCCCTCTCTTCATCCACTTCTTTCTTTCCTTTTCTTCTTTCGTTCTTTCTTCGCCTCTTTCTTCTTATACGCGTCCACTCATCAAAAACGCTTGGATAAACGTACCCTCTCCCTGACGATCCGCCTGCATACCTCCTCCGATTCGTTTCAACTACTTCAAGGGGGCTTTTTCCTCCTCTCTCTCACTCTTAACCCATCTGTGCTCCTTCATTTCGTCGTGCGTCGTCGTCACGCCCGTTGTTTGCTTTTTCTCCAGCGCAATCTCCTTTCCTCGTGCTACTCTTTCAGTATTGCGCTTTCCCCTCTCGCTGGTCCCGACAGCCACGGCTTGCCTGCGCCGCCGTTTCACCAAAAAGCTTCTCTTGCCTGTCGTCCTCGCGCGGATTAACTCCCATCTGACCTCGAACCGCTCGTCCTCTCCTACGTCAGGAGTATATCAATCACCCACTCTATCCGCTTGGTCTTTGCGCAGTGGTATTGCAGCTATCCAACCATGAGCGCTCCTCAGCAACCCCTTCCCTACGCCTATCCCGGCGGCGTAACGCCGGGTCCGTCTGGTGCGTAATGCCATCATCTCATCTCCTGCTAGCCCCATGTCCTCCCCTTTCCCACTTGGTCCGTTCCTGTCGTTTGCTTTGTCGCGCGATCTTGAATCATGGCCACGCAGCCCACCCCCTATGCCCCTGAGTTTGTTTCATGCCTGCCCGCTCGCCCCCTCTTCTCAATTCTCTGTCTTTTCGGGCGCTTCTGCATTGACCCCTCTTTCATCTTACTGGATGTTGCCTAAATTTCTTTGAAGCATTATAACTGACTTGCTCCCCTCCTCTGCAGACGGTCAAAACTCGCCCCAACTGCCGGTCAATCTGGCTTCCAACAATCCCTTTAGAAACCGTGCACTGTCGCCTGCCGTCAATTCTGCCCCTCGTCCCGAGCGGCCAACCTCGACCAACCCTTTCCTTGACGACTCGGATGCCATTTCTCCTCAATCTGCTCCAGGTGCAAGCATGATGTCGCCTCCGATGCAGCCTCTTCAGCAGCCTCTGCAACCGGTTAAGCCGGTCCAACCCGTGCCGCAAGAAGTCATGGGAAACACCAGCGATCTTTTTGTATGTACACCCCTCTTTTTTACATGTGATTTTTGAAAGGGGTTCACTCTTCTAACTGATACAGGCTAGCTTGTCGCTCAACCAGGCCCCGCAGTCCAATGGTCACCGACCGCCCCCTCCTCGTCCGGACGATAGACTCAAGCAGAGACCTACCACCAGCCGTCGTCCCAAAGATCACCCGTCTCGCCGTGAGAAAGATCCGTTGGACATTTTCGCTGATCCGCCCGCTTTGACCAAGTCCAACACCACCCACGGAGGCCGGGAGCGGGAGCGTCGACCCCGTCGGAACTCGGAATCCTCCGTCATGGAGCGACCCAAGGCCATGGACCCTGAGGAGGAGCGACGACGCAGAGAGAGGCGTCGCCGTGACCGTGAGGCCCGCCACCGCGATGGCAAGCCTCGCTCCAAGAAGGCCAACTATCACATGGATATCATTGATAAGTTGGACGTCACCAGCATCTACGGAACAGGAAGTGAGTTGTCCTCGTCTATTAGCTTAAATGCCTGTAACTAATTTATTTCAGTGTTCCATCACGACGGACCGTTTGATGCCTGTAACCCTAACCGGAACCGCAAGGGCGTGCGCACAGCACCAATGCAAGCATTCCCCCAGGATTCCACTAACATGGCCTTGGGTGGTGCCGGTCCCGTGAACAAGAACATCGACCTGGACCTGTTCCATGGCCGTGCCACGGAGGGATGGAACGATTATGCCTCGACGGGTACTGCCCCTGACACCGTGGGCCGATCAGCCGAGGGCGTCAGCTTCGACCCCAAGTCTAAACTTGAGCCAGTTCACGGGCCCACCAGTTTGGGACTGGGAACAAGCACATTCCTGGACGGTGCTCCTGCAAGTCGCAATGCTATGCAGCGCCGTGCCAGCGAGAATGAACAGGGCGTCGCCCCGGGTGGTGGAGGATTGCAGAGAAAGAAGAGCCTTGCGCAGCGCATCCGTGGAATTAACAGAGCTCCCAGCGGTCGGGTCGTGTCCCCGGATTCGTCGTACCCTGGCCCTGCCGGTTTGAGCGGCCAGCCCCCACGTGTGCCTGAACGCAAACCTTCTATACAAGACTATGACGAAGAGTGGGATAAGAAGGGTGCGAAGATCAACAGCGCTGAAGACTCGCGACCAGTCCCTGAAGCTGGCCGGGCCCGATCCTCCAGCAGCCCTAAGCAGAGCACCTTCTCCAACGAACGCTCGAATTCAGGATTTGATGAAAGCAAGCCCAACAACGGCAGCGGTGGATTGCTCAACCGTATGAAGAGTTTGAGAAGGCCACGTCCAGAGCGACGAGTCAGCGATGACTAAACGGCTCTCTTATCGTTTTTGTTGGTTTCTTGCATTTTAGCGACGACAGATTGTGAAGTTCGCCAGTGTCATTGGCTCGGCGTCTGTTCTGATGCAGGTCATCTTATCAAAAGACAGACGTGTATGAAGTATCATCCCGTCTGTTGTGTGGTGTTTACTTGGAAGCATCTGCTTGAGGGAAGTGATTTGGGCTCTTTTTTTTTAACATAAACCTCCTTGGGTATCGACTATCACCTGGAAACGGAGTAGCTATTGGCATCTGCCCTATGACGAGGGCTTTTGATCGAACGAGATGCGATGTGGATGTGGAGTCCGCCGATGGATTATGTCTGATTAGTTGCATTACCCGGGATTTAAGAGAATAGGCGTTGAGTGATGGTTTACTTTGGGCATGGGATAGGGTATGGTTATTTGCTTGTTTTGAGTTTCGCAGCTTCATGTTAGCATAATTTATCGTTGCTTAGTTATGTCTCTCCGTAGTTATTCGTAGTGGGCTTGCTATTGAGTATACTGTGTTAGGGTAGAATAGCTCCCAATTCCTCCATCCATTTCACCCACGTCCATATCAGTATCTGCGACACTCTCAGTCGAACTTCGGGACTGCTATCCTCTCTGTACTGACGTTAGACTCGACGTTTCGCTGGTGCCTACTTTGTCGGCGATGCTCGAGTCACTCATCTTCTATCCTCTCACTCCTACCTCGATTACACTAAGCGAATATTTTCAACTACACGACTTGAACAATGCCATTCCTCTCCACCATAACACGACCATTCCTCCACCATGCCTACCATACCCTCTTCCGAAAACTTACCACCCTCCCCTTTACGCTCACCCAACCCCAACTCAATCCCCCCAAATCCACCAAGCCAATCCCCCCCTCCCCCCCGGAACTAACCCTCCAAATATCCTCCTACCTCCCCCTCCCAACCCGCATCTGCCTCGCCCTAACCTGCAAATCCCTCTACACCTTCTTCACCCCAGCCCTACAGGCACCCGAACTACAATTACCGCGCCTCCCACTGCTTGGTCAGTCAATGATTGTACGAGAGTATCTGTGCACTAGGACTTATAAGGCGAGGATGGCGCTGTTGGAGCTGTTGGAGGATGTGAGGTGGGGGTGTTGTGCTGTTTGTATGAAGTTGCATCGGAGGGGGGAGTTTGGGGTTGCGGGTTTTGGTGGGATTGGGGATTGGGGATTGGGGGTGAGGCGGGTGTTAGGAGGTGTTTTGCGGGAGCTGGGATTTTGGATGTTTGTCCGTGTGTTTCATTGACGGTTAGGGAGGGGGCGGGGGTTGTGAGGTATCTAGCCAGGAGGCAGATGCAAACACAAACTGAGGATCGTGTTGTCCGTCGTTATATTGATACTGGGCTGTTTAGGACCAGGCTTGACAGTCAAGGCAGACAGTGCCTTCTACATGAGTGCCACGCGTACTCGACCGCTAAATCCCAGGTCACACTCACCCTCACAGAAAGTGGTGAATTGCAGTCTCACTCCTGGCACAAGCTCCCCATCACCACCCTTTTCAAGGGAATGGAGCCAGTATATTTATGCTCATCCATGCGTCTGGAAGATTGCCAATCTTTCAAGCATTCCAAACCCAGTCAATTCTCACGCTGCAGGACAGATATTACTAAATTGAAAGATCACAATGCGCGAGGCTACACGGTTGTGGAAGTAAGACGGCCTCTTGGGGTGGGGCGAGTGGCCAAGTTCAACGAGGCATCTTAGGCCTTCGATTTATGATGCTGATATGTAGGGTTGTTGAGGATGGGTGGTGGGTGTGGATGTTTGGTTGCTGGGCTTGGGGGATTTTTGGGTGGTGTTTTGTGTAGGAATGCATTAATTTGCTGTCTGCTGGTGATGTCCTCGATTGTGTCTATGTAAACCTATGAGTCAGGAGTGGAATAGTCGTTCGCAAATGAGACTCACCGGTTGAAAAGCTCGGCTCTGTCACCAGCAGCATCTCTATTCATCTGTTTGAGAAATGACACTGTAGATAAGAGATCAAACAGAAATTCGTCATCAAATGTGCGCCATATCTCATCGCTACATCACTCCGACAAAAATCAACTGACTCATTTTTAGGCCTCTCTTAAAAATGAAGATACACGAGTCTCGTTCGACATTGCTGGTCATTTACTGAACGTTCAACATGGCTCGAATAGCGCTTCGCCAGCGCTGGAGTATCCTCTGCCATAAACTTTCCAGACTCGCTCAAAGACAACGACCATCGAAGATTGCTGCTCCTTCCACGGAAAAGCAGGGTCTCGAACCCATGCTATTCAAATTCTCGATGGAACTACTGCTCCAGATATTCTCTCATCTACCCTTACCAAGCCGCGTCTGCCTGGCCCTAAGCTGCAAAGATCTTTACGATCTGTTCAGCTGGGTGCTTAAAGCCAAGGAGTTGCGTTTTCCTGGATTGCGCACTATGGGGAAACCATTGTCCACGTCTGACCGGTGGTATGTTAAGAGCAGGGAGTATCATCTGCGGATGAAGTTGCTCAGTCAACTCGAGGATAGTAAATGGACATGCTGTGCGTATTGTCAGAAATTACATCCGCGCGAAGAGTTTGATGCGATGTACCGCTTGATCGGTCCTTGTTTGAGGCGGTGCAATGATTGGGCTGGGATTTTGGATTTTTGCCCTTGTATTTCGATGACTATTCGTGATCGGGCACACGTCGTGAAATATCTGATGAGGAAGTCAACTGATGACCGCATTGCTCGTCGGTTTATTGATACCGGCTTGTTCAAGGATTCAGCCAATGACCAAGGTGGACGTTGTCTCTTACATGAATGTCGTGCATACTCAGCAGTGCAAGCTGTGACCATACTTACTCTTACTGAAGGTAATAGGTTGAGGGCTTACTATTGGTATAAGCTTCCTACTAATTATCTCATCTCTGAGATGGTTCCTGTGTGGCTGTGTCCCACTAAGTGGCTTTCTCTCATGAGAAATTCGGATACTTGGCATTGTCCCAGCTGCAGTTCAGATATCACCAAACTGACAGATTCGAACACTCCAGATATGACAGTGGTAAATGTCAGACGTCCTTTAGGGATAGGGGAATGGCCCCGAGCTACCGGATATCTTAGATTATCGTCTCAATATACACTGAGCATTGACATGACACCCTGGCTGAACACGAATATTCCGTCATATGAAGCTTTGATTGCTAATTGATAGACCTAAAAAAATCCTTCAGATGACGTTGTTCTATTTACACATGACCATTTGCTATCCATCTTCGACTGTCTCTACATGTATCTATCTACGAGCTCATCTTAGCTTCACCCGAAGGCTACTAGTCACCAGCACTGCGCAGAAGTGTGAGCTCATCGCTGGTGCCTCCCCCACTCCGCTCCATCAAGGTGAGCCGCCTCGAAAGAGCGAAGTATTGGGGGAGGGGGGCCGCGGTGACCCAAAAGACAAATTTGTACAGTATGCTGGGGAGCATATGCAGAAACCATCCGTTGTTGTCGCTCCTCAACCAGCACCAACATTCCCTCGATCCGGATCCAGCAGTCTTTGGATTTCCTCGTGGTCGTTGACCAGGCACTCAAGCTCTGTCCTGTCGACGAGAATGAGCTGCCCGTTTGAGGATGGACCAGTCACTGCAGCCTTCATGGCGTCTAGCCGCGTGTTATCTTGTCCTACCACTTCCCTCAAACGAGATTCAGTGGTGTAATTCAGGTCCACGGCAAGCTTCCAAGAGCTCACTTGCCTCTAAAGCGCGTTCACCTCGTCTCGGGAAGGTTGGAACTGGTAGGTGGAAGTGGACTCAGCGTCGCTGTCTTTCGGCCAAAAGCCAGGGAGCCAGTATCGAATCCACTCCTTCGCTGGGATCAGCGAAAGGACGCCAAACACCATGGCCACAAGTGCTGCAATAGCGAATCCGTTCATGTTATTAGCGTATTGATTTACTCTGAGAAGGGTATACTTAGCTTGTTGGCGTTGAACGAACTGTGAGGAAAAGAAAGAAAGGAAAAAAGAGAAAAGAGAGAGAAAGAGAAGTATCGAATGGAACCAGAGTCCAGACGACCATCAATGAGAAAGGTGCCAACTGTTCAAGAAGCCAGTGTTGGCGAGGTAGGTACCTTCCCTTTGCTCTTTCCATTTTGGGTACGGCGTAAGAGACGTCTCCATTGCGGAAAGGCATTCTGTATTAACGGTACGTTTCGAGATGACGGGCTATATCGGATTATCCAAGTTAAAAACTACCCAAAAGAATTGATTCAAAGACGCTGTCTTCTACTCTAAGAATGGTTTGTCTATTGATCCAATTCCATGTCGCAGCGTACTTCCTGCCCTTTTTGTAGAACGTAGGGCTCCTGGCCACCTCCCTTCCAGTCCGTCTTCCTCCGCCTTTCTTTTCCTTTGCTTCTTCCGATTCTCTCTGTCTCTCGCGATCATCCTACCATCAAGTTCCATTTCTATTTGATCCCTTCAGCATCTATGTTCTGTTCCAGGCTCATCGTTCGCTCTCTTTTCTTCGGGATTTTTTTTTTTTTTTTTTACCATAATCCAATCGACTCGAACAGGCCGGCTAAGTACGCGCTTCCCAAATCCACGAAATACACTATGGGTTCGTTCGTCGGTCCGCTTCAATTATCACCGCGCTGGCGAAAGAATGGATCCGACACAAGTTCCCAACTCCTCGGCTACGAGCTTCCAACCTCCCAGCAATTTGCGTCCCAAGACGATGTGGTGGTGATATCGGGACGCCTGACCGACATGGATGGTATTCGGCACAAGGCATATATCCAGATGGCCGATGAAAAGGCTGAGGTGGCTTAGTGAGTGATACTCGACTAGAGTCTGTGTTAGATGGATCGGTTTGGGTTAGGGGAGACATCAAATGGGCCCTATTATTCTACGTCTCTTTGCAGTATTTGTTCTTTCAGGCTGATGGTTCTACATTCTGCAGCGGAGATGGCACGACCGTTGATGGCTCGGCAACCCTAAGGAATGCGTCTGGCTTTGGTTCCCCTGAGATCCTCGTCACATTCTTCTGAGATCGACCGTGTTTTACACGCGCCTAAACTAGTCTCGTCTAGCTGGTTCAGCTTGAACTGCATCACGCCTGTGTTCCTGCTCCCGAGATGGAACCCGACAAGGCCAGCAGTTGTCTCGCCACCAATTCGTCGGACCACTGCAGGGCTTGACCGACTTCTCGATTCCGAGTCCTCTTTCCTGGAAACTTTCAAAAGACATTCTGACCAAGTTCGCGGTGGAGTACACAAGCATCGGATTGCACGTATGCCAGTCCAAATTCTACCCGGAGGAAGTCCCAATTCCCACGGTGCTTGTGCAGGCCAAAAGGCGCGCGATTGATAAAAGCTGGCTTTTTGCGGCACAGCGGATTCATCAAAAGCTTCTCCAGAGGTCATACCAGAACATACAGGTCGAGATTGCACAGCAAGAAACTCTTGAGCCTCTAACCTGCTCCCCCGTGCTTTGTACCGTCGCCGTTTTCTCGCGATGCATACATGGGCATTACTCTCCAAGGTCAGTTGGTCAGACACCTTCGATCCGGGGGAAACGCGCCTGGTCATTGATTATCTGCATTTCAATAGACCTCTACAAAGGCAGTTACATTTGGTTCTGCTTGCCGTGCAAGTTGTCAAGCCACGTAGCATCTTGACAAGTATTTCCGAGAGGTTATACTTCGCTGCTGGACGGATAGCTCTTCCTTTGCCCCTTGTAACTGCATTCAAATCTCCTTCTTGGCCCTTTCTTTTCATCTCTATTCATACAAACACTGCCATCTATCGTATTCCGTTGGATATATAACCGGCACAGACTAATAATACTGAGTACTCTCCTCCAGCTAGGAGGGTGTTCACCATCTGTGTCTTGTAGCATAGTTACTATTTATTTACGTTCATTGGTCAATCGCTTGTCACCGGGATTCTCCTCTTAAGCTTCATAAAATCAGGGCTCGAGTCGAAATTAGAAAACTGACTTGCTTCAAGTTTCTTTCTTTCTTTCTTTCTATTCCATTCCATCTCATATTACCATTTTTTTATGCTTTTTCTCTTCTACTGTTCAGTTGTGGTTCTGCGGAGCACGGAGTGTACGCCGACCTTTCCTCTCCCGCAGCTGTCGGAGTACGGAGTAACTACACACTTCTCTCGCACTGTCCGACCTTGAGTATCTCCGTATCTCTACATCTACGAAACAAGTGATATCCATATCAATTACCAACCAGCATGGAGCCTCAACCTCCCGAACAGCCGCAACAACAACCCCCACCAACACTCACCAACCCGCGTTTCACCCTCGAGCTCGAATTCGTCTCCTCCCTCGCAAACCCCTACTACCTCTCCCACCTAGCCGTCACTTACCCGAACCTCCTAGGTATCTCCCGATCCAGCGACGACACCGCAAACGAGGACACCGATACCTCCGCCGACCCCGACGCGCAGGCTTTCGCCGCGTACCTCGCATATCTCTACTCGTACTGGAAGACGCCGGATTACGCGCAGTTTTTGACGCATCCGGGTCCGACGCTGCGGGCGCTGCGATTGTTGCAGGAAGAGACGTTCAGGAGGGATGTTATAAGGCCGCAGGTTATTGAGGGGTTGGCTGGGCTTGGGCTTGTGGGTGAACAGCAACAGCAGGAGGGCGCGCAGGAGGGGGGTGAAGAGCAGGGACAGGAAGGTGCGGAGAAACAGGATGGGGTGTGAAGACTTGATGGGTTGGGGAATAATACTGTGGGAGAGATGCGAATCGATCGTCATGGCCTTTCGTGGTCTACGTGAGGTCTATCGGGATGCTCCGGGTTTCTTGCAGCTACCGGTGTCCATCTGAGTTTTGCCTCCGGCCACGCAATGTTTATTCTACGGCAAGAATTGTGGTGCAGACAGACTTTGTTCATGTGTCACCGAGGTTGGTCCCAGCTGTCGGCTATTTGCGAACAACGAACGACAGACGTTGAGTCTGGGGAAACGCAACATATGCTAGTTCAACGCCTGCGGAAACGATACCACCGGCCGATCCGGAGTACATGTTTTTATTACTTTCCGGGATATAAGGATATGGTAATGTGCTAATGGATGGGCATAATGACAGGGTGTCTGATCGCCGGTAAAGCATTGACACAAGCGGATGGATTCAGTCTCCGCTGCACGTTGGATTAATTAAGAATAATGGAGTCAGGAGAAATCAGAATAAGAATACGAGTACATAGTAGTGATGGTGAAGAGATCCTATGCTTCCGCGTAGTCCAATGTAGACGGTTACTATCCCTGGTTCCTGAACCAAATATTAGGAAAAAGGAGGAAACCAATGGCCTCTTTTATCTGCTCTTTTATATATATATATATACAGAGTACAGAGTACACCCACCAATGCCCAAAATAGGGACAGCAGAATTACCCCTAAACTAATCGCATTCGTTGCTAAATCGGGGATTGGGCCCAGCCGCTACTTGCTTAACTCCGGCGCTCTCCTAATCAACGGATCTCGATTCCACTCTTCACCCATCTCCAACCACCACCACTGTCACCACTCCCTTACTTTTCCCACTGCGACTGGGACGCACTGGCTTCTGTCTATCGTCAGTGGTGTTGGTATTGTTGTGCATTTATCTGCAGGCTTATCTGCCTTGGAGAACAGATAGTGGAACGCCCCACCCTTGGTTGTTTGGAAGCCTTCCGGTCTCTCTTTTTCTCTCCCTACAACACCCCGGATTGTCCTGTATCCATACCACGGAAAGCAGTAACCGGACCCTCATTGGAATCTACCCTATAACCTCTATGGTCTAACCCAGTACTGGATTTGCTCCCACGGTCACCTCCCCCTTGCCAGTCTGGGCCCGACGCGTCACTCCTTCCCCCATCTCGTCGCGAATACACATCATCCTAGAGCTTCCAGACGTTTTGAATAGGGCCGCCGTGCAAAATGGAGAGCATGCGCCAATCATGCCGACCGAAGCACCAGGTCTTGATCCTGAAATGCTTCCCCCAATACCAGAAAGGAGTCCAGGAGGTTAAACCGAATGCTAGCGAACTCTCCTACCTACTCTACTATGTCAGCACCCGCCGCAGCAAGCTGACCAAGGTCTGCTCATTCTTGGAGAAACGGGCAGCTCGCGATGTCTGGCGACGCAAGCTTGGGTGAGATTACAGTCTGGCAGTGGAAGGATTATGTTCCGGTGTATTTGCTGACGGTTTTACTTTTCCGCTTCTAGGAATGTGCAAGTTACCCTTCAGATCCTCACTGCGCTTATGGAAAAGGTTCCCCGCGACTTGCCGATCTACGCGCGATATGTCCTCTCCGTTATCGATATCGTTCTTCGGTCCCAGGATATTTCTATGGTGGAGGATTCGATTGCGACGTTTGAGACGTTCTGTCAATACCAGGATATGGCGTCGCTTGCGGCTGAGCAGGAGTTGTCGACTCAGTATCAGGGAGTCGTGCGGACGTATGCTAGCTACGCGGATACCAAATCGTCGTCCCAGCAGACCACTTCTAGTTCCCCGATGACGATCCGATGGAGAAACGCCGGGCTACGAGCGATAAGAGGAGTGGTTGGCTCCGACGAAACACTGGCTGCTGATGGAGGGGACTCGTTGAAGCTGATTCTCCCCGTGATTCTGGAGAATCTGTACACTGGCGAAGAGGATGTGTTGGTCTTGCTCCAGCTGAAGTCGCAAGAGCCTGAGAAGACCCAGCCGGAGCTTGCCCCACGTCGCAGAGTCAGTGTTGCAACCGTGCAGACGGTGGATGCGGCTGAGGCCGACCCAGCATTGGCTTCGCAGACTACCGCAGACGCTGACCGGAAGGCGGAGATGGATGTGAGGCTGCTTGCGTTGCGTTGCTTGGAGCAGATCATCGTCTCGGGAAGTAGCCGCGGTCAGATCCGTGTCACGACTGTCACTATTCTGCGGTTTATCCTTGGCAAGGCTCCGATTTCCAACTCGTCTCAGGAGAAGGCCACGGGCGATACATGGGCTACGTCGTTGATGGAGCTTGTGGCTAAGTGGTGTCCTGTGCAGGTTCGCTTTATCATTCTAAACGCTGCTATGGAGGTCTTGCTCGAAACGAACCCTACCGAAGAGAACCTGGACCGTTCGACTACCATGGTGTACATGGTCGATTGGCTGTTGAAGTCATCGGTGAACATGATTGGGCTCAGTGTTATAGACGTCTTGCTCGGTCTCATGCGATACCTTTCCTCCGTGCTGTCACCATCTGAGAACGGGGCAAATGGCGAGTCGACAGAGAAGCACGCCAACGAAGCAGCTTTAACGGAACGGAGAAGAGAGCTGCTTGGCCTCCTTGTGGAGTCCGTGGGACACCTCGCTACCCACATCTACTACGGCGAGCAGATCACGGACATGGTCAGAACGGTCTTGAGCCTTCTGAAGCCAGGCGCCAATCACGAAAACTCTATGAAAGCTCCAACGGCAGATACACTCGATCCCTCGGCCAAGCCGGCAACCCCTCCTAGTGAGAATGCAGTAGCATTCTCCTCGCTCACAGCCAAGGTGGTCGCGCTTAAAGCCGTCAAGAACGTTCTTGTCGTAGCGAGCGGGAAGAAACCGGCTGCTTCAGCTGGCGTCGAGTCCCGCAACCGTGTTGGCATCCACGTGTGGGAAGATACGCAATGGCTCCTGCGTGACCAGCGGGAAGTCTACTACACCTATGCCGATGCCCTCCTGTGCTGGTTGAGACTGGAAACCAACGAAACCGACCTCAGGGTCAGCGAGTCGATTGGCAAACCAGCAAATTCTCTGGCCAAGCAGCTGCCTGAGATTGCCGAGCGCTCTGGTAAGCGGGGATCGAACTCAGGAAATCACAGAGCAAAGGCTGTTCAAGTCGCACAGTCGAACTTCCTCCGTCTACTGCATTTGACGATTTACGAAAACGCGCTCGCGCGCTCATCGGAAGAATCGGAAACCCTTCTCCTTCACCTGCTCCTTACGAACTTGGTCGACCGTCTTGGCATGAACGCCGTTCGATATGGGCTGCCCATGGTTCTCAAGTTGCAGAGCGACGTGAGTGCGGCAAGTCTGCACTCCGCTGCGTCTAAGGTGAACATCGGAAGCTTGGTTTTTGGATATCTCTGGGAGTTGACTGAGAAGTTCGACTTGGATGTTTACAGAGTTGGCGGTGCGATTAACAGCGAAATTGACAAGCGGAGGAACTTTGGTGTCTGGCTTGACAGTGTCCGTCTGCCACCTGCTGACCTTGACACTATTACGCCTATCGCTGGCAAGGAAACCAGTCCAGGCGGTCTGGAGAGTCCTGAACTGTTGAGTCCATTTGGAGATGATGTTCAGGAACTTGCTGACCGTATTGAAGAGGCGTATAACGGATCGATTCCGACGCCTGTCCAGAGCCCTCCTAGCTCCCCGGAGCGCGGGGGAGGGAACGGAACGGCCCCTGCCATTCCTGAGAAGGAGCATCTTCCATCGTCTGTCAAGGGCGACATGTTGGCATTTTGGTCTAAGGAAACCTGTCTGGCGGCTGTTCAAAAGGATAAGGCACGTACATTATCCATCAGCGGCTCGAAAGCGGGAACCTTTATCACGCGCAACCATTTCCATGGCAATGGATTCAGAGACAGCTCGTTCTCTACGGCTTCTCCAGTTTCAGCTCTTGATGGATCGGGTTCTATTGCTGGAGGCGCAGCGGGCTTGCCTGATCGAAGGCGCCTGAGTGTTCCCGAATTTGCAGGAACACCAATGAACAGTTCTAGCCGTGGATCTGCGGTTCGAGTCAACGAGCTGAGACGCGTGCTTTCCACCAACCAGGACTCTAACGCACGACGTCTCAGCCCGTTACGAGGACGATTGGATGCTTCTAACGACAGCATTATATCCTCGAGTAGTGAAAGCATGGTCAGTGGCTATTCCGCATCTGAATTCGACGGCGACGGAGCTTCGAGCAGACCACAATCTGTCTTCGAAGGAGAATCGACGCCGCCAGGAGACGGAGTGGAAACCCCCCGGGCATCGGCCTTTGTTCTAACCGATGGACAGTCGAAAGCCGGCGGCATCCCTCCTGTTCCCCCGATCCCGCCGTCGCTCTCCATTCCGTCCATGCCGTCGCTTCCGGGTGGATTCCCGAGCGATTCTTCCCAAGCCTCGACGCCGCTTGGTGAACGACCGGTCACCGCGCCGGCCCCGCGAAAACAAGCCTCTGTCAACGGCAGCGCTGGCACATACCATGCTTACCGTCCGAGCAACGCCGGCACCTTGAACCGAAGCAAGAGCCGTTCGAGCACGGGGCTTGCAAGCACCGCCAATATTGAGGGCGGCTACACGGAACATGACCATGGCGATAGCCAACGCCAGTTAAACGACTTTCTGTCTAAGCATGATGCGGAGCGGCCCAAGGGGGCGAGAAGAACGGGTGGCATTTCTTCGAGGCGGCCTGCTGCCAATGGCGGTATTAGGCGGCCGCCATATTGATCTTTAATTTCGCGTTTTCACATTTCTTCAAGCTTTGTTTTAGTTTGACTTGCATTTGTTGCATTCGCATTAGCATGATTTTTTTTTTCCAACTTCTCGCAAAAGCACTTATAATTCGTACCGGTCATCTTCGTGACCTTTCTGTTTGACTTGTCTGTTTCTTTTGTTCTTTGGTTGGCGATTTTATACTGTTTAACTTGTCTGTCTCTGTTATGCCTTTTTTTCTTTTTTTTCTTGTGTTGAGTTTTGATAGACGTGGCTTGACTTAGTACCCTTATTTTCTTTTGTTTTAGGTCAAATTCAAGGTCATGTTGAACAGCGGGATGGGATGCTGTTCATGGCGGGTGCTGTGTTTGATGGTTTACATGTATTTAGATGGCTAGACTCAATTGAGTGTAAATAATGTGGGTGTATTTGATTATCGTGCGTCGTGGGTATTAAGCTATGCTATACGTAAATCAAAGCTAGAGCAATCAGTCTTGATCAGGGTCATGAAACGGAACAAATCAGTACTGCTCGACAAGCACCTTGCCAGCAGACTTCGCACCCTTCGCAGGCACCACATCAGGCAAATCCACCTCCACAGGCCCAAAGTAGTCCTTGAACAACTTCACCAACTGCTCATCATCCATCTGCAAATGATCCCCCGGCAGCGCCAAAAAATCCAACTTCCCCTGCTCATCCAACTCCTTCAACCCAAGCCAATCCTCCTTGTAAATACCCCTCTCCTTCAACGGCGTCACCTCCCCAGTCGTCCCATTCACCTCCGCAAACCACGCACTTTCCTTCGGATGCGCAATGCTATCATCCTCAAACATGATCATTGCGAATTTATTCAGCTTCTTCAGGTTCTCCTTGTACATCTCGTTCCGCGAATCTTCACGCTCGTTGTTGATATCCGCGAGGAAATTGCTGCTCTCCAGATACTTGGATAGAGGCTCCTCATCCGGATCCCGAAAGTACTGCGCGGGTACAAACCGTCCCTGCACGAAATCCGACCACACACCAGCATGCAACAACGCCTCTGCACCCTTACATATCAAATCCATCGACATGCACTCCTGAAACTCCGAGATCCCATTATGCTGGCTCCCCACGGTGACCAGATTCCGCACGGGCGGATTATTACACCTCTCCACATACGCGCGCAGAAACTGCCCACCCTGCGAGAATCCCAACGCGTTAATCGCCGGCGCGGTACCAACGATCGGCTCGGAAGCTAGTTGTTCGCAGACGGCGTCGACTTGCTCGGTCACGTTGCCGAGGAAGGAGGCTTGGCGGTCGCCTGTGCTGGAATCGGAGAGGTGGATTATGTGGATGTAGGTGTCGGGGTTTGTGGATGCGGCGAGGGAGGCGATTTCGGACAGGCCGCTGCTTTGGTAGCTGTCGCCAAGGCCGTGCCAGATTATGAGGGGGAGGGGGGTGAGGTCGGGAGAGGTGGTCTGGGGTGGTTGGTGTCGGGGGAGGGCCGTTGAGGGGGCTGTTAGGAGGGGGAGGAGGAGTGGGAGGGAGTACATGGTTGTTGGTGTACTCCGTACTCGTGGGTTGATGGGTTAGAGTTAGAAAGTGAGATGAGAGATGGAGGTGATGGGAGGAGGTGATAAGATGGAAAGGTTGCGATGCGGTCTGGGGAAGACGTGGACCTCGGTGGGCCGCAATCGGCGATCAGAGACACCTCAGGCAGGGGTCCGTACAACTACAACGCATACATGCAGGTAAGTTGAGAAGCAATTCATCATTTATTAAAAGAGCTAGCTGGATACTTCTGTACTCTCAAAAATGCATTCTCTTCTAAATGTCACCGCATCAAACCCCCGGCGTAAACCCTCCAGCTTCCATCCCATCAATCCCACACTGACCTCCAAAAAACGCCGATGAGGAGCAACAAGAACCCTACAAGCCTCTCTCATCCCACCCTTTTCCCGTAAATCCATCACCTCTGACCGGTACAGCTCCAACGGTTCAGACAATGGCCGGTGTGCAAAGAGATTCTGCATGTACTAATGTGTGGTCCAAAGTGATTACGTATGACTCGTACTTGTCGAGATGTGGGTTTTTGTTATAGGACAGGAGGGCTTGGGGGACTTGGTGCTCTGTTTCTCTTGAGTTGCAGTTTTTTCGTATGATCTGGTGAGCATGGTACGGTGCAGCTCCAGGAAAGAGGTTAGCTCACCGAAAGAAGAGCAAGAGGCGTATTATCACAAAATGGAGAAGACTGGTATCTGCGCTCCTTCACAACAACCCCATCGGCTGGGAACCCGCTGAAATTTAAAGCAGGAATTTTAAAATCAACTGTAGAGGGATGCGTTACTTTCCTATTTTACCTGCTAGCCTTCGATCCCATAGTAAGCTATGGGGTATATACAATTTGGCCCCAGCCCCAACATCACGAACGATATCGCGAAGGAAAAGACAATCGTCTTTGCTGACTCGCGCTGTCTTAATTTGCTCAAGATCGGTTTGGTAATCTTCGTACCAGCGTCGCTCGAACATATTCAGGTCCAGCTGGTGCAATTCGTCGTCAGATTTGCAGAGCATGTCTACGGTTTTTTCGAACACTGCCATAGATCAACTGGTCCCCTTTCCAACGATATAGGGTAGGATATACTCACTCTCCTCTCCATCTTCTGGAATATAAGTCGGATCCACAATGTCCGTCGCAGGTACATCGGTTGTCAATCTGACATTCGCTGCTTGCAAATTTTCTGCGTCCTTTGGCGTCGGCCTCGGTGGCATAGCGGAGAGTGAGTCCCATTGTCTCTCGTATGGGTTTGCATTGAGTGTTTAAGGTAGGAGAAGAAGAAAATGAATGGTTAGTTTGGTAGTGGGTAAGAGGTAATACTGAAATGGCTGACGGGTGACTAGCGGGGCAAGTGGCATCGGCATAATCCGAGGTTATGCTGGTTTGTGAAAATTGGCCTACAACTAAACAATGCCTCTTCTGTATATCATTGCATAAAACACTCATTTCTAATGTTTGGTTTATCTGGTATATCAGGCATGTAGAGGCCATCAAAATAAGACAATACCCCAAGAACCACATAATCTGATTTTCTGACTTCCGGGCTTGACATGTCTCTATCTGAATGATAAACTCTGATCACATAGCCATATAACCGAAATATTAATCCAATTTCAGAATCAAGCAAAATATATATATATAATGTGTTGAGATCAGCAGTCGTGGTGCTTCATAGTCAATGCATTTGGATGCTAAGAATTTCACTCGTTTTCATGACTCAATAGCCACTTAATAGGTATGCTAAATATCCGGAGAGTGCTTGCGTTTAGTGGCCCACGAGGCCCGGGTTCGACACCCGGCCGCTCGTTTTTTGTTCTTTTTTCTGTCCCCAGTGGTGCCTATATATTTGACGTTGTTTACTTTACTGAGTTGTTACCTATACAGGGCTTGGTTGTGACCTTGTGGCTGTGCGAGCGGTGATTGGCTAATGGTGCAGAAGGACATACAAAGACACCTCAGGCAGTAACATCAATGGCGTCTACATATTGAAAGATGAGAAGACTCCTAATTGAGTTATTCATTCATCAGCTTTTCAAGTTAACAATTGCATAGATATATGAATAGACAATCACATGTATCATGTTACTTCGTATCCCGCACCACAGAATCAATCGCAGAGGCCACCCGGTCGACATTGGATGAGTTTAGCCCAGAGATATTGATACGACCATTATCCGGCAAGTATACGTGGTGTATTGTGCGCAGATTCTGGCACTGTAGTGGGCTCAGAGGTAAGCAGCTTTCGAGAGTTAGTTTTCATTTCAAATAAAGGAGAAATAATGGTGCACATACGCGAAAAGACCTTCTGTTGTCAAGATTACGCCCCAGTTTCCAGATGTCTGTTGAAATTAGTCCTGCATAGAGGCAGAGGTGATGGGAACGTACATTCTGCAAAGCCTGGTGAAGCTTTTGTCGATTGTCGAGCAGCCGAGATCGCATGGCTACTAGCTCTTCGGACCTGTGTACTCGTTAGTGCTGACTCCTATCATGCAGTAGTTTGATATATACTTACCATTGCCCCTTCAGATTCGAGCCCATAACAATACTCGCCAAACGCGACCCATAAGCCGGCGACGAAGAAAATTCCCACCGAATCAAACAGCGAAGCTGATCATAAACATGCGAAGCAACCCCAGCATCCGCGCTGACGACATGAAGCACTCCACATCGCTCACCATACAATCCCAAGTTCTTAGAAAACGACTGACAAACAACCATTTCAGACCCCATCTCCGTAAATAGCCTGATCGGGTAGGCGTCTTCATTCATTGACCCGCCCAGACCCTGATACGCGATGTCCAGGAATGGGAAGATGCTGGCTTGCTTCATTGCCCCTGCGAGCATATCCCACTGTGACGGTGTTAAGTCTGCTCCGGTGGGATTGTGGCAGCATCCTTGGAGGATGAATATGCTGTTTGGGGGGGCGCTGGAGACTGTATTGAGTAGGGTGCTGAAGTCTACCGTGGCGGTCTCGGGATCGTAGTATCGGTACTTGACTACTTGCAAACCCACCAGAGAGCAGAGGGGCTCGTAGTTTCCCCACGTCGGTGTTCCCACGTACACCGTGTTCTGCTTGGAACTGGCGCATCGCGCGAGAAATAGAGCGGCCAGGTGGTTGGCTCCTGTGCCTGAAATGGTTTGGACGGATGTGACCTGAAAGGAATGAGTTAGAGAGAATGCGATGTGGGTGGAGCCCTAAGAACTCACGCGTCCGTCATTCAGCGCTTCGCATCCCTCGCCAAACATGGCAGCTGCTGCATCTTTCAAAAACGCTGGATTCCCTGTGGTGGATTCATACTACAGCATATCTTATCAGTATCGGGGCCCAAGCCGTTGAGAATCAAAGGTACTGTACATCATGTCCAGGATTGTTTTGCTCCAGAATCCTTTTGGCCTGGTTTGGCGGATGACCACATCAGTTCAAAATTCTTGTAGTTGGATACAATCAACCTCACCTCTCGAAGGACTCCCATTTCATAATACTTTCCCTCCGTGTTGCGATAAATTCCAACACCGAGATCCACCTTGTCTGGGGACACATCGTTGTCGGCATCTCGCTTCAAGACGAACATGGGGTCTACCGGACCCTGCTGTACATTTTCAAACATATTGACACCGTTTCTTTTGGATAGTTATTGAAAGAAAATCTCGAGATAGCAGAGGAATGTGTGTATTTCAAATGCGTGATATGTAGGAGATGGGTTTCGGTTTCGGGATCCGAAGCCGAGCAATAGTAGACTGCGCAGACTCGGCTCTCATGGATCCATTATCTCTTGAGTGTTTGTGATTTATTCGGAAGCAATGGCGTGCGGCTACGTCGGCTACCTTACCGGTTGCGCGAAGCACTCCGATAGAACGCCCTCAAACATGTCACCAGCTCGCCGGCAAGGCGCCCGCTTCTTACGAACCCAGGTTTCTCGCCGCTACTTATATGCAGCAATTAGGACAACAAGGGGATTCAGGCAATCTTATGCGAAACGGGAAAGCACATTATCTATAAGTTCGGTAACGTCAGAGCAGTCTAAAGGCAAGTTGGTACATTTATTATCTCACAAATTATATATCGCGCTTGTGCTCATCTATCTGACCAGAAACTTTGAGGTTTATATTGGCGTAACCCATCACGTTGTCTGTAGTATTACCGGACAACGGCTGATAATGTCAAGGTAGTTCATGCCCAAGGCGCCCGTAGAATTCGAAGGGCTTTCGGTACGTTCTACCTATTGAAAGCGGATCTGAAGACAAATTGGCGATATGTTTCTGTCGACTATCGGTTGCTTTCTGCTTTGAAGATGCGGATGACGGTGGGTGTTGTCCATAGACAGTTTGTTGCTCGGCAATATCGTTCAAAAAATCAACATTACTTTGAACAGGCTGTCTCGAGATTCCCTGGCAAAATGGTGTAAATGGAGTATTTTTGTAGATTTCGAAATCTCTTCTGGGTTGATCACTAAATGCTTGGTTCACTGTTCTATTAACGAATTCGTTCAATACGTGTCTTTCCGGATCCATATCTTCCTGTGTTCGAGTATGCTGAGGACTGGGAGTTATATAGTTTTGGGGTAGGTTGAAGCGAGGATTGGTATTATATACCGGCTGCTGTTGATTTTGGGTATCCCCCACGGTTTCATCGAGTGCGACGGATTGGCCAAATATCTCAACCGGAGAGGTATATGAACCAGATGCGTTCATCCTTAAACCTAGCTCGGCATCGTAGGTAGGTTGTCCACAGTCGAATGTCCCCGACATCGTAACCGCAAACGATGTGTTGGCCCAAGGATCGTCCTGGCCCACGAACCGTTGGATGTGATGCTTTGGTTCCGGAAGCCAACCAGATAATTGGTTGCTCGAAGCAGATCGTGTACCAGATGTAGCGCATCCGAGACCATGTTCATTGCGCATCTTCTCGGACGAACACTCGCTTGTCGCATAGCTACCGGCTGTGTCGCTATGGTGTAGTTGCGCATGATCATCCCACATTTTACGCGAGGGCCGTGCTTCTAGTTCAGCAGCAATTTGATCATCAATAGTAAAACGTCTGGGGAATTGTGGAATTGGCTGGTGAAGGCTGGGAGTACGGCTGTCGAGCCTCGTCGGCGATCTAGATTGTTGTAGATATGGATGAGAACTGGATCGATTAGCGTACTGCTGGTCCTTGTCTTGAGATACAGACTCAACAGGAAGAGCGATGTCTGATGGCGCAAGAGATGGCGACTGTCTGGGAAGGTTCTGAGACGATAGAAGTAATTGGCTGGAAATGGTTCTTCCCCTGCTTGGGCCGTATGCTTCTCCATTTGTTGATGAGCTCCGATACGTAAGGTTGGAATCCTCCCTGTCCAGGAGCATTGACTGAGACGACTCGTTGCTCGTTTTGTTGTGACTATCACTCGAGGACGCTGGATCAGCTGGCGGCCGATGTATTTGGATATCCACGTTTCCAATCGTTCCAAATTCGGATGACGCACGCTCTCGCGCTCTCTCACGAGGCCTCGGCTGGTTAATCCTGCCACCAGAAGAAACCAACCTGTTGTGATCCGCCTCTGTCAGTTTCCGCCTTTTCCCAAATCTCTCCAGTTCCTCTGTAGGTGTGAATGACATCTTGACTGGACGGGTGACCCCAATTGCGGCCCAGTCGTTCGTTCCCAGCAGTTGGCGTTTGATGCGGTCTAAGCGGGATAAGACTTGGGGAGGTTCGTCGCTCGTGTATGCTGGAGTGTTGGACCGCCCGTGTAAGTTTCTGCTAGACTGTTGATATATCAGCATAAACACAGATCCAGAAGCATTGCTCTTCCTTCCCCCAGCAACTTACCTGGTCTCGTCGCTCGTAGCTCCCACTAAGTGTACGCTGTCGCGACTTAGGGCCTTGGAATTGAGACAGTTTCTGGAAGATTTCAGGTATTTGAGCGTCATCGGTTCTTCTTGACCTGGGCTTTGCAAATCTTTGTTTTTGGAGTGCGTTGGGATCTTTTGAGTGTCGCTGTAGACGGCCTCCAGTCCAGTTCATCGCAGATTTGAGGTCACAATAGCGTACACTGTTACTTAGAATATAACTGGATATTGTCGTCAGTGATAAAAAGTAAAAGTAGATAGAGAGATAGCAGTCAAGGAAAGGGTGTAGGGTGAGTCCAACAGTCGGCGAGTGAAGAGTGAGAAGAGCCTCAGCTCATGGCATCCAAAAAGGGAATAGTCCACTCTTTGGACCTAATCGTGTCAATTCACCATACAACGGGTTCTCGCGCTTACTTCAACCAATCGATGTGGTTTGCTTGACTCAATGGCTCGCGATCGATATGAAGCTGGGGGGGGGCGAGCCCATTGCATTTATGGATCAAATACGCTCAGTTATTCCAAGTCTCTCATATAACTGTAGGATAGAAATCAACAGGTACCTCATATTCCGAGATCTCCCCCCAGCATCAGCGACTTCCAAGTCTTTCCGTACCTTTTTTTCAGCCGCTCATCTACGACGATATAAATTGGAACTGGATCACATGCGTCCCTCTGCACCAGCTACTTCAGCTACTTCGAACCATTCTCGCTCGACCAGATCTGACGTCTTCAGTTCATCATGTCAGTTTGCTGTCATCATCAGCCGCAAAATGGCTGCACCCCGCGAGCAATGTACACTGGGATCGAGAGTCAACTTGCTTTGGTGATGTGGTGGGAAAAACAATTCATATCATTCAGTACGCCCGATTTGAGGACGCGGAGGACTGGGTCAAAGCTCTCCAAGAAGGAAATTTCTTTGCCTTTGCAACCGTCTTTATTTCCCAACTTCCGAATATAAAGTGTCTCTGTCTGGACTATTCCTTTGTTTGGCTCGATGGGTATCCTGGCAGGATGTTGAAGCACGTTCTTTTCTCGCCAAATACGGCGCTGTCAAGATTTGAATCACTTCGACACTTTTTAACGCCCTCCCGAGTCTGATAAATGGCCTACCGCAGTATATCGCAGATGCCTGATTTGGGATTGACATGCCTTTGGAAATGGGTGCGTTCGCTAATATTAAGCTCTCTCATCTGTTCTACGCTAGGTCTTCTTTTCGTTCTATTCTTTCTATGGCTGATACAAAACGGCGTTCAAAGTTGCTACATCGACGTTCCTGAGTACGTTGCCGATAACTATGCTCCCAGGCTCTTTACCACCTCTCACCAATACATCTATTCCCGTACGATGTATCCGTATCGCATTCAATTAGATCAGTTTCCAGACAGGACGGTACACTGAGAAGAAAAGCCACAGATGATGGTTGTCCACCTTCGACAGCGGACGGGCCACCGCACGCCCCAAAGGAGTGTCATAATTAGTGTGAGGTGTATTTCGCCATGGGTAAACCGTTCGACAATCGATGGAGATTTATGTTGAGACTATAGATTGCAGAATATTACAATGGATCCCTGGCTCATTGTTTGCAACAATGGTCAGGGACATTGTGGGAAAGCTTTTTTTCTAGGGGAAAATTTATTGATATTGAGTTCACATCTGTGACTAACCCTACTGCTGCGCCAAGCAGTTCGCATTGGCTCTCAAGCTACCCACACTGTATATGCAGCAGAATTACAGGGCATAAAGATGGCGCTTACCCAAATACGCAAC